ACCACCATCTCTGGGCTATAAAGTTTACTTTTTAAAAAGCAAAGTTAAGCAGGGTATAAGGAAGGGTGCATGCCTTTAACCCCAGTGCTCAGGAGGCAGAGGCAGGAAGAGCTCTGTAAATTCATGGCCAACCTGGTCTACAGAATGTTCCAGGACAGCCAGGCTTAAGAAGAGACCCTGTCTTAAAAACAAAACCAAAGGAAGTGTCTGAGGAGTTTGAGATACCCCTAGCTGAGACCCCCTTCCAGCACATCGCAGCGCTTGGGGCCGAACCCTCTTTCACTGTGTGAGCTGATTTACAGCCCTCAGCTGCAGAAAACCAACAGCAGTGCAAAGGGTTCTTGTCCTGAGGAATGGAACACAGGTCTTAGGGAGACATCTGGGTGAGGCGCTGTCAGCTTTACATAACCCATCTGCCTCTGCTCACACTAGTCCTGCTCTGGCCTGTCAACCTCTCACAGAACTGCATTCTGGGAATACTGATGATCTACTCAGTTCTGCATCTGCTACATGGGTAGATGTTACACCCAGTAACAGTTGGAATGTTAAAGGGCACCGCTCCTCCAGCATCTGAATATGCGTATGTGTTAGGAGGTGTTTGATTTTTATTTTTATGATAGGGCCAGTCTGTCCTTGAACACCTGATCCTCATGCCTCTGCCTCCCAGGGCTATAATTACAGGCGTGTATCACCATGCCTGGCTTGCAACATGCATTTGAGAACCTCAGTGTCAAGCCAAAGGAGACAGACTGAAACCGTGAACCTAAAAGTGAACCTATGTGTGAAGCCAAAAATGGGCAAACCTAGTCAGGCGTGGTGACGCACACCTTTAATCCCAGGAGGCCGAGGCAGGTGGATCTCTGTGAGTTCAAGGTCAGCCTGGTCTACAGAGTGAGTCCCAGGACAGCCAGGGCTACACAGAGAAACTCTGTCTTGATAAACAATACAAAACAAAAATTATCTGTTGTCCAAAAAGCCACATAAACAACCAACCAAAACAACCAAGAGCCAGTGAAACGGCTCAGTGGGTAAAGGCGTTTGCACGAAGGCTAGTGACCCCAGTTCAGTCCCTGGCCCCCGCATGGAGGAAGAGGACTGACTACACACACACACACACACACACACACACACACACACACACACACACACTGTGACTGACACACGAGTGCACATACATGATAACTAATGTGATAAAAGAATTTAAGCAGTTTTATTATAACACGTTGTTTAGGATATCGACCCTGATTGGGGTCAGGCTATGAAGGAAAAGCAAGGAATAAACAACCTAGGAGTCAGGACTGTAGTAACATGTGGAGAGGAGACTAAGGTCAAGCAGGGGTTTGAGGGGGCCTTTGGGTGTCCTAGTGAGGTTCTTTCCACTGTATGTGTGTGTGATATGTATATAGTTTGTGCATGTGTGTGGTCTGTTCATAGATGTGGTATGTGTGTGCATGTGTGTGTGTGTGAGAGAGTGTGTGTGTGTGATATATAGTTTGTGCATATGTGTGGTGTGTTCATAGATGTGGTATGTGTATGCATGTGTGTGTGAGAGAGTGTGTGTGTGTGATATTATATAGTTTGTGCATGTGTGTGGTTTGTTCATAGATGTGGTATGTGTATGCATGTATGTGTGTGTGAGAGCGTGTGTGTGGTGAGTATGGGATGTAAGTGTGGTATATGTGTGTAGGTGTATGTATTTGTGTATGTGTCATTCCTCAGCACTTCCTACCTTCTTTCTTGAGACAGGGTCTCTTGTTGTCCTGGAAGCTTTTGGGTGGTCCAGGCTGGCCTATGAGTTCCAGGGATCACCCCTACATCCTCAGGACACCACTGCCAGAGTACAGTACCACACCAAGGTTCCTCCCGTGGGCTCTAGGGATGGAGCTTTGGCTTGCAAGGCTCTTTGCATATTATGAGCCCTCGGAAGGAAAGGCAGACCCCAGATTCTGTCAGAAACTCTAGGCTTCCTTTGGTTTTTCTTGGCAGGAAGTAACATGAGTGATAAAGTATCTCCGGCTTCTGAGACCCTGGGCAGGAGTGTCATTAAAGCTGGCCAGAGCCCGGCTCCATAGCCTTGGCCCCACTCCTCACCAGCCTGCTTTGGAGCAGTGTGTGAATTCAAAGCTCATCCCTGAGGGCCTGGTTTGGAAATCTTAAGGCTTAGGTAGGACTTGGGCTGGAGGCTAGGCTGGGGAGGTACATGCTCTGGGTCACAGGAAGGAAGCTGTCTGGTGTGGAAGACCATGCTGGACATGGCCACCCTTGCACAGCTGGCTTGGGAGAGGAAGGAACTGGAAGCTGGTTTGAAACTGGGTCAGCTCTAGGGTAATGTCTCTTCTCCTGGTCCTGTGACTTGGGAGGTCAACAACCTCCTTTGAAAGTAGGCAGTGATTTAAAGGTCCCTAAAGTCATAGAGCTTTGCTCTCCCTGAAGCAGAGGCACATTGCTTTTAGAAACACATTCATCTATCTATTATATATCTATTTATTATTTATTTATATGTGTGTGTGCATGTAATTGCACATGCTGCAACATGCAGTCAGAGCACATCTTGAGGGAGTCTGTTCTTTCCTTGCACGGCACATGTCCCAGGGATCAAACTCAGGTAGACAAGCTTGGCATCAGGTGCCCTTATCCACCCTGCTGGCCCATATTTTTTTTTTTTTTTTTTAAACAAAGATGTGTTTGGGACTTTATATGCCACAGTCTAACCTTCACAGTGCACTCTGCTGCCTGGGTCTGCTACCACTGTCAAAGCAGGAAGCTGACTGCAGCACTGATCGCCAGGGGCAGGGTCCAAACTATGTCCCGGCAACACGCCCTCCCCAGCCGCTCTCTGCACCATTGCGGCCGAAGGGCAGGATAGGTAGGCCCTTCCCAGGAAACGGGTGTGTGAAGGGTCACCTTAGTCAGGCTAAACTTGGGCTGGAACTATTTTCTGCCGCAGAACCTGTCCATAAAAACCAAGCCAAGGGCAGGGAAAGAAAAGCCATTCTGGCCTTCTATTTTGTGTCTCTCTCTGTTCTCTCACAGAGACATTCCTTCCTGGGAGGAGGGAAGCGGACAGGATTCAGGTAAACTTGCAGGATTCCTACTCCCTCTCAGGAAGCCTCTGATTGCAGTAGGCCCCTCCCAGGAGACACGTCTTACTTCGCGTAGCTGCCTGCAATTGGTGCAAGGAGCTTCCCTGAGTGGGCACCCCCCTGGGTAACTAACTCAAGGGCCTGCTCCCGGGGTAACCCCTATAGACTTGCTGCTTCACCAGTGTAGACTCGGGTATGGGGTGTTTCCTGCCGCCCCAGGGGCCCTATCTGTAGTGGATGGCCTTCGTTCACATCTGTCCTGGAAGTCACTGAACACCCCTTCCTGGGGCCACTTCCGTTTTTCCAGAAGCCCAAGTCCAGTCACTGCCCCTACCCTGCTGACTCAGGTGCGTGTGCAAGGCCCAACAAGCCAGGGTCTGCTCTCCTCTTCTCTAGATAGGCTCAGGGTCCCCTTATGACTGAACACAGGGTTTTCTTATGTCGGAGTGTCTTCACATTTGAATGAATTTCTTCCCACCTCAAGTATTATAGTTCAAGTAGTTGGAACAGAAAATAAAAAAAAAGGGGGGGGGGAATTTGGAGAGAGGGAGGGAGGATGAAGGGAGAGAGGAAGGGAAGGAGGGAGGGAGGGGGGAGGGAGGGAGGGTTCTCAACTCTCAGCCTTTCTCTTGCCCAGAGCAAGGCTTCAGGCATGGGGTATGCTTTTGCCAGATGATAACAGGCCACTGAGGAAAAGCCAGCTGCAGCTCTCCTCAGCCGGCCTCCTCAGGGACAAGGTCTGTCCTTACCCTTTCCTTCCAAAGACCATGCTTCCTAGTGGCTCAGATGTCTGAGCATCGAGCCACAGTTATGAACACTTATGAAACTGAGAAATGAGTTTGTACCCAGGTTATTATAAATGTAATAAATACTCATTATCACAACCGAAGATGTTACCAAAATGCATTTAAGAAAAGAGGGGGAAAATCCATGCAGCCATGCAACTTTGCAGATGCAGGCAATACTCTTAGTTTTTCTCCGTATAAACGCACATTTATAATAAAAATGCCAACATCGCTTTTCATCACCAGCATCACCATTATTGTGATGAAACCCAGGCTGGTCTGGAAATTCCTACGTAGCAGGGTTGGCACTGAGGTTCTGAACCTCCTGCCTCTGCCTCCTAAGTGCTGTGGCCTCGGGCAGGGGCCATCACACTTTACGTGCTGCTGGGGACTGGACCCAGGGCCTGGTGCATATGAGGCAGGCACTCTGTCAGCTGAGCTACATTCTCAGCTTAGCATCCTTATTTTTATGTTCTCGAGCCTGTACACAATCATGGGAACCGCTGAGCACCTGCCCCTCGGGCCTAGGGAATATCAGCTCACAGTTGATATTTCATCTGTCTCCTACTTCATGGCTAAACTGGACTATTTAGCTCATCTACCAACACCCAAGTGTGGGTCCCTGAAGAATAAGCGCTTTAAAAAAAAGAAATAAAACTATCAACACTAGTTTTTGCACTTGTTATTGTTGGTTTAAGAGAGCCTCACATGGAAGCCCAAGCTGGCCTGGAACTCATTATGCAGCCTATACCGATCTCAAACTTATAGCAATCCTCCTGCTTCGGCGTCCCAAGTGAGTCCATCAGTCAAGAAACACCAGTCTGACTTACAGTGTGAGTTTTACTCTTTAAGAACATCAATACCTCCTATCACCAAATGTGATTTTGTATCAAGCCCCTCCCCCTTCCTGGTATTTTTGTTCCACCCGAACCTTTCTCCACAACCCTAAAATGCAATTATTCACACTTCATGTCGGGAGTGTGCAAAAGAGCGAATCACAGACCCCCCCCATCTTCCACCCACTGTTTTATCTGCATCTTCAGGAAAATGGGCACAGGAGGCAAAGGGCACCAGGAACCTGGCTGAGCCTGACCACCCCACCCCAGGTGTGGGAGGGGTCCTTTGTACTTACCTGGGCGAGCAGATGGGAACACAACTTCTGCAGGAAATGCCAGCCAGTCCCCCAGCCCCACACAAACTCCACCAGACACCAACACTTCCCTCTCTCTGAGGGCATCTTTATTTGCGAAGTTAGCCAATAGCATTTGGTTTCCTGTGAGGTAGGCTATCTTTAGATGCTGTGGCAAGAAAGCTCAGACGCTCCCAGCTGGAGACTAGCTGATCACTAGGGAGCCTGCATTTAAAGTCTGAGGGACTGCCCCGGGGCAGACCTGGGGATGGCTGGGGGCTGTGTCATATATCCTCAGAGAGATGACAGTCTGCATCCCCAGACGGCGCCAGAACACAAGCCAGGTCTCAGGCAAGCTGTTAGAGACCGGCAACTTTCCATCTGTCTTGGAAAGCATCTGGTACCCACTGGGCAACACTGGCCACAGGCGAGCTGACTTTGTGGCTTTTACCTCAGCATGGTCCTGCTGCCTGCTGAGGGACACACACCACGGGGAGCCTCTCAGGGGGCTGTTCACCCACTGAGGCAGAAACACCACATGGAAAGTGCCAGTAGCTCTCCCCTGCTCTCATTTGAGAAAGCCCGCTGCCTCTCTGCTTCCAGTCAGTTCCCTTCTGGGCTCCCCATGGCCCACCTTCCCCTGCAGAGGCCCAGAGGTACTGGAGAGCCAGCAGTTGCTCCCAGGCTGTCAGACGCTGGCCCTTGTCCTCTGCCCAGCAGCTACGCTCTGACACAGCCTCAGCCCTGTGCTATCATTCTCTCTCACTCCAGCTCTTGATCTTTGTTGTTCATTAATCCATTGGGGATTCCATGCGTTGCATTTTGATCGTGGTCGCCCGCTGCTGGTCCGAACCTACCCAAGCGTTTCTCATTCATTTCTGCTAAAGTGTTTTTGTTTTGTTTTGTTTTAGGTTTATTTTTAATTATGTATCTGTGAATGTGAATGCAGGTGCCCACAGGGGACTCAGCTCTCCCTGGAGCTGGGGTCACAGGCAGCTGTGAACGGCCCACCGTGGGTGCTGGGAATTGAACTTGTGTCTTCTCGAGAAGTATGTGCTCTGAGCCATTTCTACTACCCTGCTTTGTGGTTTTGTTTGTTTTATTTTGTTTTGCTGTTGTTGAGACATGTCCCAAGCATCCTGAGCTGGCCTTTAAATGGCTCCATGGTTGAAAATGACCCGAGCATCCCCCTGCCTCCACCTCCCAAGGGCAGGGTGTTCTACCACATCCGGTTCACGAGGTGCTGGGGATTGAACGCTAGGCAGGCAGTCTTCCAGCCCAGCTGTATCCCCAGCCGCTTCCCCACCCCTCCTGTCTGGAATCTGGCCAAGATTCTCCCACTGTTCCTGTCAATCAATCCCATCAATGTTCATTTCTAACCCAACTCCATCTCCAGCTGGGGCCTGGAGAGCACCTGTGGCCACCGACCGCTTTCTGTCTACCTGTCTTCATTTCACCGTCCAATGCAGAGAGTAATCCCTGAGCTGCAGGCAGCTCTAAAATTTAACTCTCTGGAAGCTTCCCCTGCTCCTTGGTCAGGCTGTGAGCACAGTGACCTCTCTTCACTTCTCACTGTGTTCTAACTGCTTCCTCTACCTACGGCACACACACACACCACACACACACACCACACACAAGCACACACACACACACCACACACACAGGCATGCACACACACACTACACATCACACACACACAACACATACAACACACCACACACAAGCATACACATACACACCACACACACACACTACACATCACACACACACAACACATACAACACACCACACATAAGCATACACACACACACCACATACATACACACACACAGGCACACACACACAGGTACACACACACTCCATACCACACACAAGCACACATCACACACACACACACACACACACAGGCATGCACACACACACTACATATCACACACACACCACACACACAGGCATGCATACACACACTACATATCACACACACCACACAAACACAACACACCACACACAAGCATACACAAACACACAGGCTCACACACACACCACACACACAGGCATGCACACACACACACACACACACACCCCACCCATCACACACACACACACACTACACATCACACACACACCACACATATATACACAAAACACATCACATACACACGACACACCACACACACACAGGCACACACACACAGGCGTGCACACACCCAGAGGTGCACACACACAGGCGCACACACACAGAGGCACACACACACACAGGTACACACACACAGGCACACACATACACAGGCACACACACAGGCACACACACAAACAGAGGCACACACACAAAGGCACACGCACACACACAGGCACACACACACACAGGCACACACACACACACACAGGCACACACACACACAGGCACACACTCCCTCCCTATGCCTGTCCTGCAGTTCCTGCCTCCCTGTCTCTCCTGCTGTGGGGCTGACAAGTCAGCCTGCCCTGTCCATGGACGCTGCAGCTGATAGAACTCTATGATGAGCATCAGCACACTTGTGCCAGTTCCCTTGGCCACAGGGCGATGGCGCTGCCCAGACAGGGCGATGGCACCTTCCAGATGGACACACACACACACACACACACACACTGTGGGACATGACATTTAGGAGAGGCACTCTGAGCTCATGGAGCATTCTGTTTTACAGTGAGAAAGCCTACTTTTGGGACCTGAAGGCAACAAACAGTACCTTATTTATCTGTGTGCGTGCATGTGCGTGTGTGCATGTGTGTGGTGTGTGTGCATGTGCTTGTGTGTGTGTGTGCATGTGTGTGTGGTGTGTGCGTGTGTGTGCGTGTGTGTGTGCATGTACCTGTGCGTGCGTGTGTGTGTGTGCGTGTGTGTGCATGTACCTGTGCGTGCGTGTGTGTGTGCGTGTGTGTGCATGTACCTGTGCGTGCGTGTGTGTGCGTGTGTGTGCATGTACCTGTGCGTGTGTGTGTGCTTGTGTGTGTGTGTGCGTGTGTGTGTGCCTGTGTGTGTGCATGTACCTGTGCGTGCGTGTGTGTGCGTGTGTGTGTGCATGTACCTGTGCGTGCGTGTGTGTGTGCGTGTGTGTGCATGTACCTGTGCGTGTGTGTGCGTGTGCGTGTGTGTGCATGTACCTGTGCGTGTGTGTGTGCTTGTGTGTGTGTGCATGTACCTGTGCGTGCGTGTGTGTGTGTGTATGTACCTGTGCGTGTGTGTGTGCCTGTGTGTGTGTGCATGTACCTGTGCGTGCGTGTGTGTGCGTGTGTGTGTATGGTGTGTCATATCTGTGTAGTGTGCACAGTATAAATGAGGAGGGCTCTGACCCTCTGGAAGTGGAGTTGTAGGAAGCTATAGTGTGAGCCATCTGATGTGGGTACCAGGAACCAAACCTGTGACCTCTGGAAGGCAGTGAGCACTCTCAGTAACCGCTGAGCCTCTTTCCAGCCTCTGCTTAAACTATTTCTTTAAAAACTATTTTTGTTATTTTATGTATGTAAGTGTTGGCCTGTATGTCCACCATCACATGCACGCCTGGACCCAAGATGCCAGAGGACAACAGTGGATCCCTGAGACCACGGGTATGGATGTGGTTGCTGGGAATCAAATCCAGGTCCTGTGGGGGAGCAGCCAAGGTTCTTAACCGCTGAGCCATCTCTGCAGCCCCTGCCTGGATGATATTATTTCAGGGCGGAAGAACTAATGCATTACAAACGGAAGTACTTTTTTTTTTTTTTTGAGACAGGGTTTCTCTGTAGCTTTGGAGCCTGTCCTGGCACTCACTCTGTAGACCAGGCTGGCCCTGAACTCACAGAGATCCGCCTGCCTCTGCCTCCTGAGTGCTGGGCCTAAAGGTGTGCGCCACCACCGCCTGGCTAAAAGTGCTCTTTTGCTCCAGAATAAATCATCAGTTGTCACTAACTATTCATCTTGCCCAGGCTAGCCTAGAACACTTAAGCCCTCATCTCAGCCCGCCCCCCCCCCCCAGCTAGAACTTGCAAGCTCTTAAGTCAGTGCCCAAGCCCTCAGGACAACAGACACATGCCAGGGTACTCAGCTAAACACCGCTGGGCTGCATTCCCAGCTCTGCCTCTGGCCCTCACCTGAGTTATTACTCTACTGCTGTGATAAAACCCGTGACTGAGGTAACTTATAAGAGAAGGGATCTAACTGAGCTCATGGTCTCAGAGGGTCAGAGTTTACCGCAACACGGTGAAGGCATGGAGGCGGCAACAGCCGAGAGCTCACATCTTGGTCCAAAAGGAGGAGTCAGAGAACACCGGACCTCAACATCCCCCACCCCCAGGGACATTCGGACAAAGCCACACCTCCCAATTCTTTCCAAACAGTTCAACCAACTGGGCCCAGGTACTCAAACATATGAGCTATGGGGGCCATTCTCATCCAAACCACCACAGGCCTTAACAATTAAATAATAACTAACCACCATTAAGCATCGTCCTCTTGTGCGCAGGAGGGGGAGGGGGCACACACACCTGGAATCCCAGCACTCACAGGTGGAGATGGGTAACTTCAGGGTCATTCTTGGCTGCACAGCAGGTTTGAGTACAGCCTGTGAGATGCCTACGCAGAGGCTCCCGAGACCTGGCCACCTGGGAGCCACAGATGTCATCCTCAGAGCTAAGCAGCCCGCCCACACCGGAGCCTAGACTTCCAGGCTTCAAACCATCAGAAATTTGTCTTCTAAGGCCCAGGCTGTCATGCTTGTCACAGCAGCACCAGCAATTAAGATGTCAATTTATCAGGCTATCCTGGAATTCCCTATGGAGCTGAGGATGACTTTGAACTCCCAACCTTCCTGTTTCCACCTCTGAGTGCTGAGATTACAACACCCATTCAAACGAATGGGTTTCAAGTTTTCATTATTGCCTTGTACCTTGCTCATATTTCCACTCCACCCCCACCCTCCCTGCCCCTCCTCCCACCCTCCCTGTCCCTCCTCCCTGTCCCTCCTCCCTGTCCCTCTTTCCTTCTTCTCCCTGGTTGGCACCTGAAGCTTTAATTTGCAACCTTTCATTTCAGGTGCA